TCATTGAGAAATTTTCAGTTCAGATTCTCATACTTCATTTCAGAAAGGTGGAAGGAATTTTCAATCTTTTGTTATCAAAATCAAGGATATCAAACTTCAGAAAGAGCAATTTAATTGCAGTCACAAACAATGCTTCCCTCAGGAGAAGAACACAGTTCATGTTGTCTGATTAATGATAACCTTTTAGGTTTCTGAGTGATGAGAAAGGAAAATGTGGCTTCCATTAGGAAAAACGTCTATTAGACGGAAACAATAAACATTGATTTGGGAAGACAGGAATGTCAAAAAATATTGATGTTTGAACACTTTATTTGTATGAAATAAGGGGAGTTTGCTTTTATTGTGTTGTCTGCACATCATTTGACAGCTGTGTAATTGAGATTCATTTTCTTTATTTTGATTCTTTTGACAATTTTGATCATTGGAATACCTGGCTAGCCTTGTATGATTTAACATTAGCACCTCAAGTTTCAACCTGTTTGTTTGTATTAATTAAATCTTGTGCTTTTTTCTGGTATTCCATCAAATGATACAAATTTCTGGATTGAATATTATGCAGTTTGATAGGCATATCATCTGAAGGATGCTGTCTAATGTCTGGCTTTCTTGCAAAAGTTTTCATTTATCTTTCTACAATATCTTTTTTGTTTCTATTATTAACTTGAATAAGCTACTTCATTTCTAATCTAGGAGGCCCAGATGACTCAGCAGAAAGGAGGAAAAAACAGCCTAAACAGCAGAGGGAAGAAGGTGAGACAAGTAATTCAAGTCTATGGATACAACATACTAGGTCATCAAAGCTGTTTTATACCTACACCGGATTGTATTTTCAATACCAGCAAAGTCTGTATATACTAGGCTAGCAGAAATATTCTTCAGTCTTTTCATGTTTTTTTCCGCCATTCAGATGCTGATGAGCCAAAGCAAAAATTAAAAAAACAGAAGAAAGCAGAAGAAAGGGGAAAAGAACAGAAGAAAGGAGCTACTGGTCTTCTTGCTCCCCTTCCACTTTCGGATGCTCTAGTGAAGTTCATTGGTACTGGTGAAAATGCATTATCTCGAGGTGATGTTATAAAGAGAATGTGGGACTACATTAAACAGAATGATCTACAGGTCTGCCACTATTTTCCATTTTGTAACTGGCACTACTATTTCTTTACTACATTAAACATAACAAGTGATTGAATTTCTATCAAAGCAAGAAAGCATGAGCTTTCACTTAATGCAATGCTTTATTCGTCATTGATCAGCCTGGACAAGCCAGCTTAAGTTACCTTTTGAGTACTTGATAGCCCACTCGTTAACTAGAACATTTGGCGACTAGGCTTTTTAGTTCACATTAAAATGAGACTGGAGAATCTAATGGACGACTGCTTAGGTAAGTAAACATGCCAAATACAGCACCCTGCTTGGTCTGGCTAAATCCAGTTGCATTCTTGGATCAAGCTTGAGAAAAGGATGGAGCTCTGTCCCAAATTCTATGAAATGAAGCTTGAATTCCTTAAAGGTCCTCTTGTGTTTGCCTATCCTTGTGTTAAGATTAAATCCTGTATATATATGATAGGTTGGTCTTGACAGGGTTCCCATTTGCATTGTATTTAACCTGATATTTTAAAACCAGTATCACTGAATTAGTTTAGGCGAAAGTAGGTGGAGATTGATCTGCCTATTTTGCTCATCAAAGATATTTTTCCATCAGATCTTGGCTTTTTGTTTCTTATATTTGATTGAGGCCCCTGTATAGTTTGCCTGTCCATGGTAACAAGTCATGGATGTGAAACACAAGTTTTTCTATATTTTTAGTTTTCTTCACTTGACGAGATAATCAATATCATAGTATCGATGCACTCAATGATGTTCAGTTATATTTCATTTCCTATATTTAAATGACTTCATAAGATTCTAATAACTGAATGTTTGTCTCACACATGCTGTTTTGTTTCAAAAGGATCCATCAGATAAGAGGAGAATCATATGTGATGATAAGCTGAAAGAACTCTTTGAGGTTGATTCCTTCCATGGCTTCTCAGTGTCAAAGCTTCTGACTGCCCATTTCATCAAGAATGAACAGTGAGTTTCTTTCATGTATATAAATTAGGTATAATGCAGTGGATCCATTTAAAGTGGGCAATTTTGCTTCAATTAGTCTCTCGTCATATAGGGCTCTTTTTATGTTTTTAATCTGCCCAAGAAATGGAACAAAATACTTCTAAAAAATTCATTTCTTCCTGCAACTATGATCTTGGTTTACAATTTTCTTGCTTGCTTTGGGTTGTTTTTGGCCTTTTTTCCTTGGAGGGGGAGGGATGGGGCGAGGGATGTTTACATCTTTTTTCCCCCCAACTCAGCCTCTACTTCTCTCTTTTTCCTGCACTCCTTTACTTTTCTATTTTCCTCGTGGGGGAGTAGTTTTAATCATAAATGATCTATACAGAGATCCACTTGGAATATCACTAGGTCCATGCCATTAGATAGTGGAAAGAAACGATGTGGCCATTTTGGTCTTTCTGGGACCATGAAGTCAGAGAAGCTTTCATAGGCTGTTTGATCTTTCTTAGTGTTTTCCCTTCTCTTTTTCCCCACAAAAACACATACGTTGAATCCATGCTATCTGACAGGTTGGCTTGTGCTCTATTTTCAAATAACTGATAATAATATCATTATGGCATAGGATGGTTTTCATCATCTGGAGTTTCCATACCATAGGCGTGATGAAACATTTACACTGATAAGTTTCATAATCCGTTCATTGCTATTCCCAAATAAAAGAAAAGGAACAACGAAAGAAACTTATTCACTAGTTGATTAATGACAAGCATTAAACTACATTGTTTTTTGCAAAGGAGATCTCTACATTATTTATAGTTTTAGGATGAGATTGCTATACAAGCTTATCTGACTTTGAATTAGCTCATCCTGCGATATCATATGAAGTTCTGAACTCAGCTCCCGCGTGAAAAATTATTTTGTATAACAGGTAAGTATTGATGTGATTAGTAACAGCCCCCACATGAGAAGACAAAACTTTTGAATTGATTAGTAAAATCCACAGCGCGAGCGCTCTATAAACTATCAACGAAAGCAGGGTATCATACTCATGTATGCCTATTATACAACAAAATTTATCCTCACATTTAAGAGGCAAAAATACGTTGTTTCTTGGGTTAGTTGTTGGTGAAATTATTGACATTATTGTACTTGACTCTGATCATAATCATCTTGGTTGGAAAAGAGGGGGTGGACCCTTTTTAACATTTTATGTTGTCGTATGTGAAAGACTTTTCGAGATAGTTTCAGGAAAGCTTGTGGGCAAATGGTTGAACACTGGCTTCTTTTTGCAATGTCTTGTATGGTTTCATGTCATCCCACCCCCACCCCCACCCCCACCCCCCTCCTCTAGGTGTCACCATACCAAAGCTTTTATCATGGACCCTGGATTCTTTTGTTATTCCCTCAATTATTTGATAACCAGCTTTTGGCTCAAATGAGACTCTAAGCAAGAATGAGAGATCATTTTGAGCCAACAAGACTTGAAGCAAGGAGGAAGTGGGGAGTGGGGGAGTAAAAAATTGGGATGTCAACCTCTGATCATAGCAAGTTAATACATATTAGTGAATTGATGGTTGAGTATCTTGTAGTTAGTACTTCGAGCAGGAGATTTCGAGCTCGACGATTGATTGATTAATGCATAAAATTTTTAGTTTGTCTTAGATGAGATCATGTTTAAGAGATTGATTACTTCCCAACTTTTCAAAAATCCAGTGTAGGGTATTGTAACATCAAGGTCTATTAAGAATCATCACATTTGTAGTGGATGAACTATTTGTTGGAGACCACAGAATCTCAGTTTGACTCTGTAGACCAGAAAGGTGAATGGCAAAATTTCTTTCAAGGAACACAAAATAGGAATATAGATATATATATATACACACACACACACACATAAAGAGGATAAATGCCTTGTGTGTGTGTGTGTGTGTGTGTGTGTATATATATATTCTCATTTCATCTCATGCAAATTCATGTACCACAATCTCTTATACATACATCAAATATACAGTATGATTGAATTGGATTGGAACCCAGAAAAAAAAAAGGATGAAATGAAATTTAGTGGATGGAGGAGAGGAAATGATGTTGATAGGGAAAGAAAAAGATATGTGAGAAACATATATATATATATATGTATATGTATGTGTATGTGTCAAAAATAAAATAGAAAAGGAGGGAATCTTTTGAGATGGGGGCCAATTAATATTCGTGATGCTAAAAGCACCGCCGTCCGTTCATATGCGGCGAGCCGATTCCTCCATCTCCCATCACGTGCCACGTTATCCCGTGGGCCCCACACACATTTAACCCTCCAGAAATTTACCAGAGTAATTAATCAGCTACTGTTATTATATCATAGAAATTTACAATGCATACCTACTCGAAAATATATATATATATATATATGTAATTTTTAAATAAATTCTAAAAATAATATTTTTTTTTTTTACTATTAAATTCTACGTCTAATAGTATCAAAGAGTAAAGAAAATACACCCATGGTAATTTTAATATTTATTCAAGTCATCATGTAACGATCTTATTATAAATATTTATAAAATCATAACATCGATTTTCAATATCATTTTTCTTAGAAAATATTAAGATTCTTCGAATGGGTCCTTCTTACGAGAAGTAAATAAAAATTATATTCGTTGTAATTTTAACATTATACGAGCCATTATGGTACGATCTTATTATAAAATATTTATGAATCATAACATCGATCTCGAAGGTCAAATTCTCTTGAAAATTCCAACATTCTTCCGATGGGTCTTTCCCTCTCTTCCTCTCTTCTTCTTTTGTAGTAGTTTGATATAATTCGAGTCATCTTATCATATAATATATGTATATAAATCATTATATTCATTTTCAAAGTTTGAACACTCTTCAAATGGGTCTTTCCTTTTTATGATTTCAAAACTTTTTATGATTTTTTTTGGGTGTAAATTATTATGTTTTTTTTTTTTTTTTGCAATTGTTATATTTGATGATTGTTGTTGGAGTAGCGCATGCACTTTGCTCTAATTACTTCTCGAGTTAAAATATACATACATATATATATATATATATATATGTGTGTGTGTGTATATATACACTTGTTATTTTTATTGTGGTAAATTTCTACTACATTCCAAATGAATTTCCACAAATAGCAAATGCAATTATTACTATAATGCCATTCTTATCCATGCACTATGACATAATCCACATTCTTTAATCAATGAAAATTATTGAAAGGTGTAAAAAATAAATAAATAAATTTGTGGTCCACATTGAGAATTGGAGCTCTGTAATTACACCATGTGGTAGGTGTAAAAGAATAGAAATGGTAAACATATAGATACATATATTGAACAATATACACACATATAGACATACCCATATACGGGATATTATGTTTTAAGCAAAAATATGAGATTATAGATGTTCTTAATACGATTAATTTTGTAATTTACAATAGTACATACTATATATATTTCTTTTGTGACTATACATTACACTACTCTCATACATGATAATCACAAAATTACAATGTACATATATATATATATATATATATATATATATGTATACCCAATTTATTGATGTTGGAGCTTGGATAATTGATTATTAAGTTGTGATTGTTGGTGGGTTTTTATTAATTTTATTTTAAATTGAATTAGAAAAACAAAATATTCAAATATATATATATATATAAAAAATAGATCTAACCATGATGAGAAAAAGTCATGGTTTAAACTTTTTCTCACTCTAAACAATTAAATTTTGGTAAAAAAATTTGTAAGTATTAATTTACCAAAGAGTTTAAAAATGGAATAGTGGGAAGTGAAAAAAGAAAAAAAAAATTATGATGTTAGGAAGGGGGCCATGGTGAGTGGAATTCTTGTAAGGACAAAGGATACAAACAATAATACCACTCAAGTTCAACAACTCCTAAAAGTAGACAAAGACACCCAAAAACCCTAAATGAAAAGAACAAACTCACAAAAAATTTATATATATATGTGTATATATATGTTTTTAATATTGTTTTCATGGTATAAAAGGATTCCATGCAAGGAAACAGTAAATTATGTATACCCCATAAAATATATATATATATATATATAGATATATAGATATAGATGCCATGAAAAGAAGGGCTCATATAAAAGCCATGAACAATATGAGCTTGTCATCACGTGAAAGATGCTTTTTTGAAGAACGTTTGATTAGGATTGTGCTATGTGTCTTCTTGTTCTAAAGAAGTCTCCCCTAAAAAAAATAAGGAAAACCCTTTAATTTTCTATGAATCAATGGATCTTCTTAGTAATAAAACGATATATACACATATATATATACATACACACACACACTACACGAATGTGGTTATAGTTTTATATGTATAATTGTTGAAGTATTCGTTTTAATTGTGATTATTTTCAATACTTTAGTAATCACTATTTTCTTTTTAACTTAATGATTATATGATATATTTTTAGATCAGCTATCGAGTACTGAAATTAAATTTTTTTTTTTTAACAATTCTTAAAATATCACTTCATAATAATTGCATTTTAAATTAGACTAGTCGGAATTTACTTAATAATAAATAAACTTTTAAAATTATAATTATTTTTTCGGGACAAACTTATTATCAGGGTAAAATTTAATTCAATGAATTGTAATTTTTTTTGAAAGTGAGGAGGAAAATTTTGTGGGGAGAAAAAGTTTTCTTTATTGAACTCTTTTGTAGTGGGAGTGCCAAAGATTTCATGGTTTTGCTTCCATGGTGGTATCTTGGAGATGATCAATGTGGGCTCATTTTTACCAAAAAAACAAAATATACATCATGCAATATTTTGGTGGTATGTTCATTTGTAATATTACATACATACATGCATACATATATATATATATATATATGTATATATATGTAAAACAACCAAATATATTGATTCTTTGAGGAAGCACATTCCCCATAATTGCCAATTAGGGTTTGGCTAATATAAGCAAACAATGAGTGGAGAGAGGTTTTCTTTCTTTTTTATTATGGCTTTTTTTTAATAGTCTAATTTTTTTCTTATGTTATTTCTAAAAAAAAATAAATAAGCAAATATATATATATATATATGTATATGTGTATATATATAATTATGTTCTTTCATTTATGAAAGAAATGTGAAAAACATTCTTGATTTTTAGTTTGGGAGATAAGAATGAAACTTTTTGCATATTTGCACATAACCCTTCTTGGATTCCTTGAGTATCCACCAAAACTTAGAATATACATACATACATACATACATACATATATATATATATGTATCATATCATATGATGGTTTGCTTTACCATAAATTTATTTTTTTTTTAACTTAAAAAATTTTATTTTTTTCACCAATAAATTTCAATCTTGCAATCATTTCCTTTTTTTTTTTTTAGTTTAACATAAAAATTTTAATTTTGAATACTGATTAAAGTAAATTTAATGTTCGATTGATATTAAAGTTATCGTTTTTAGTAAAGGTAGAATTCGATATTAATTTACGCTAAAAATAAAAGAAAACTTTTACTAATTTTTAATTCATTGAATTGAACAAAGGGTATATATATATATATATATATTTTTTTTTTTTTTTTGTTTTCCCCTCTTAAAAGAATAATCTTTTGACATATAATATATGCATATATATATATATATATATATATATATTTACACACACACACACACGTAGAAAGCCCACTTTCCAATCTCATGACTTGGCTGGCTTCAATTCCATGCCATCATCGTTAGAAGCAGGATTAAGAGAATCGTATTCCTTTTTTGACTCATAATAATAATTAAAAAGAAGAAGAAGAAGAAGAACGAAGAAGAACGAAGAAGAAGAAGATGAAGAAGAAGAATATTATCGTACTACATCGACACACAAAACAGGAAACTATGTTTCCATGTGATATGACTAATATGCCCTCCACACATTTTCTTATTTTCCAAACTATCCCTTACTTTTTCCTACACATTTTTTCATCGAATTTGAAGGGAGTAAAAACACAAAAGTGAAAAAAAAATATATATATATATATATATTTTGTTGTCTTCCTTCAAATGAAAGCCAAAAATTACTCCTTTGAAGCAAAAATTTGATGGGAAATTTTTGTGGGTCATTTACTTTTTCTTTACCCATTAATCTCTCTCTCTCTCTCTCTCTCTCTATACATATACATATACATATATATGATGTAAGCAATTGTAGTTTATCTTTTTCTTTTTTGGGTTTGACCAACCACACCATTTGTTATGATCCCAATACAAATTCAAAAGTACACACACACACACACACACATATATATATATATATACATGCATAAAACTAGTAAACCCCTCAAAAGTTCGAAAAGAGGAGAACAATTTGGAAGAGAAATAGGAAACGACTACTTCATTAGGAAAATTTGGTCTCCCCATAAATTTACTAGTTAATTACATATTAAAATTTTAATTATGACATTAACGGTTAAATTAATCAAAAAAAAAAATGCATCAAGTGATAAACTAAAATTAATTTAAATAGTGTAATAAAATATGAATAATTTCAAATAAATCTTAAACTTTTAAATTAAAATAATTAATCATTAATTTAAAAGGAAGGGCAAAATTGGAAATTAATGAAATAGACAAATAGATTCTTTGATTACAAGCATCCGACAAAACCGGACTGGATCCAATCTAAAACTCACCGTTTTGTATTCTGAGGGAAAAAAAATATATTAAAATAATTTTAAAAAGGTATAAAATATTTAATTATTTATTATAAATTAAATATTTTTAAGAGATTCTTAATTCTACGGAAGAGAATTGGAATCTAACGGCTGTAAAAGTTTTTGTCTTTTTTTATTTAAAAAAAAAAAAAAGAAGCATCTTGTAAATTAAATTAATAAATAAATAAAAGAGAATTGAAATCTCGGGCAATATCTAAAACTGGGCCCCACGCATCTCTAGATTCCTTATCTCTAAGATTAAAACCATTTTGTTCGGTGTCAATAATTTCCTGTTTTGTTTTTTTTTGTTTCACACGTCTGCTCACTTTCGAGGAGCGTACCGTACACCGTCCAATGGCGTCCTTTTTCCTGGCGCGTAATCGCACTTGCCGAGATTCTTCTGTCAATTATGAAGGATTTTTTATTTTTTTTAAAAAATATTAAAATTTGTAAAGTTTGCATTTTAAGATACTTAAAATTAAATAATATTTTATTGGAATTAAAAAAATTATAATTTTTTATAAAAATTAATTATATATATTTAGTTCAATTAAGAGGATTACGGTGTGTGTGTGTGTATGTATATATATATATACATACACACATATTATGTATACATGTATGTATATGTGCGGTTTAATTTCCACTTCACCTGGGATTCCCATTGATTCCAACAACTGGCTTCTGCAAATACCCAAAAGATGCCACCAAAATTAAACCATGAATTTTGGGAATTGAAATCTTAAACGACAAAGTACCCACCAATCGTTATATATATATATATATATATATATATATACATACATACATGTGTAAGTACCTACCCATTAATTAATTAATTAATTAATTTATTTATTATCCACTAAAATAGGCCATGAGGTGTGAAAAAGTAAGCGATTCCCTTTGAAATTTGAGGAGAAAATCATTTTTTATATATAAAAATAATAATAATAATCTTACCCATTGTAAATTAATAAACATAAATTATTAAATTATATATGTTATAGTGTAAAGTTTTTTTAAAAATAATATACGAATATTCAAAATCTTAACCAACAAAAAAAAATTAAATTAATAAAAATTTATATTTCTTACATAATAATTTAAAATATTTAATTTTTTAAATATATAATAATTTAATATTTTATTTTATTTAATTAAATAAAGTACTTTTTTAACTTAAATATTAAAATATTATAATGAAAATTATTATTAACTTTTTAGAGTAAGAAAATTAAAATAATAAAAAGTTTGGTTAAAATAAATAATAATGTTGCCCAAATTTGACTATTAAAATATTACTTTTACATGGCATTGTCGGTAAAAGTCTCTTTGACCAATTCTACATTCACGGCTACTAACCCAAATCCATATATACATATATATATATATATTATATAATAATGTAATTTACATTTAAATTTATTAAATTCTTTATCTTAAAATTTGTTTACACTAAATAAGAATATAAATAATATATTTTTAATTAAATTGTTAAAAAATTTAATGTTGGTATAAAAAATGTGTTATATTTGATTTCGGTTCGAAACTATAAATTTACGTAATTAAAATTAATTACTTAAATTTATGAAAAAATCTAAAAATCCATCACGGATTCATACCCATAATATTAAATTAATTAATTAAAATTTAGTAAATATATATATATTTAAATAAGCAAAAGACAAAATTAAAAATTTAAAAGAAAAAAAAAAAGTGTTGTACCCTTGTTGTACGATAAAATAAAGAGATTCCAATTCCAATTCCAATTAATTTCTAACTCTCTTTTTTCCAATTAACCAAACACGGCCTTTTCTCCTTTTTAGTAAAACTCAATATATACATATATATGTATATGTATATATATATTTTTTTACCCGAGTAAAAGTTAAATTTTTTATTTTTATTTTTATTTTTTTGAGTAAAAAATTATTAGTTTGGTTCAAAAATTATTTTTATAAATTAATTATTATTTATTTCGACAGTTTAATATTTTTATAAAATTATTAATTTAATTCACATGTAATATTTTAAAAATTAATATGAAAAACAAACATAATATTTAATTCGTTTATTATTTTAAATATCAATTTTCATCACTTTATATATATATATATATATATATATATACATAGACATATTTTTATTTAAATTTCTTACATTCCCATTTCTATACATATATATATATATATTATTTTACAAAAATAGTGCTATTTTTTTACTTTCTATTTATTTCTAATTAGTCATTAGTAGTTACCATAAACCATCAAAATCTTGGTGATGTAATATGTGTTATTGAATAGTTGATATTGACACTAGTGGATGAATAGTAGATATAATTACTACTTATATATATATATATATATATATATTATTTTTTACCATGTAAAATAATGTGATTCATGGGAATCTTAGGTAAAAATAATGTGAAAAATTATAATTATTAGTTTTTTCAATTTAATTTATAATATTATTTATTTAAAAAAAAAGTACTTACAAATGGTACTAAATTTATTAAAAAAATATTAAAGATTTTTTATAAGATATTTAAGTGGAAAATATTTAATATTTATTGAAAAAGAATATTTAAAAGTGTATTTACCAAAAAAAAAAAAGAATTAATTAGTCATTAAAAAAATTAATATGAATTAAGAAATTAATTTAGTAAAAAACTTGGAACTTTTTTGAAAACGGTAGGTGGGTCCGAGTTGGAACGAGTCGACTCGCGAGTAGACTCGGACTGAGTGGTGGATAAGATATGCGACGACGCGAAAGTGACTTTATAACCCGAAAGCCACAACAGAATCTTCGCGTTCTAATTTTCCTTTCCGGTCCTCTTCCGGAAACTACTCTTTCTTTTTTTTCTCTTTTCTTTTCTCTCCTTCCAAACACTTCTCCTTCACATTTCTCTCACACTCCAACGTAATATTCCCTCATATACATATATATATATATATATTTATATCTACACACGTCTAGATATCTACATCCCTCTTACCCTACATCGGTTTATATATATATATATATATTTGCACAGATCTCACCATCTGTCTTCCTCTCTGTGTCTCGTTTCCTCACCGACTCAATTTTAAGCTAATTAAGAATCACGAGAGAAAATCAGAGGGAGAAGAAAAACCGGATTGAAGATCCAAATAAATGGGTTCGATTCCACCTGAACTGAGTTTGGATTTTAGGCCGTCGTCGTTTGTACCTAAAACGATCAGTGATTTCCTCAAGGAGGTTTCCAGGATCGGGAGCGTCTCTGAGAAAGTGTCGAAGCTTGATGGTTTTGTCAAGGGACTTGAGGAGGAGATGCGGAAGATCGACGCCTTCAAACGCGAGCTTCCCCTATGCATGCTTCTCTTGAAGGATGGTGCGTTTTAATCAATTTTTCTGTTATTCCTCTTCGTTGATTGTGATGAATATTATTGAAAAGTCGTATGAGTTTTTTCTGTTTTATACTATTTTGATTTTAGGGTTTGCAAATGTAGCTTTCTTATCGTTGGTTTGTTCTGTGGAGAAATTGATGATAATTTGTATTGACTATGTGGATTTTTTGGTTGTTGTTGAAGCGATTATAGCTTTGAAGGAGGAATCAATGCGTTACGCGGCGAAAAATGCTCTACCAGTTTTGGAAGAGTTCATTCCATTAAAGAAGCGAGACCGCGATGAAGAAGACGAAGAAGATAGAGCAGCTGCGAGAAAGAAGGAGGACTGTAGAGATAAGAAAAACTGGATGAGCTCTGTTCAGTTATGGAACAGTGAGGATCTCCCCTCTAGTACTGTTAACCACCGAAGCTTTGATCCAAAACAAAATCACAAACTAGAAACCAAGGTAGTAAAAAATGAAGAACAATCAGAAAAGAAAACACTAATTATTTTGAACCCTACAAGGAAACTAATTAGTTTCAATTTGTTTTTTCTCTTGCTTGATAACAGAAAAAGGATGGACAGAACCAGTGTGCAAATGTGGATCTATTATTCCAGACTGCTAGAAACAGGGCTAGTGCCAGGACGATTATGCCATTTAAAGGATTCTCTGGTTTTCCGGGGAGGAAGGAGGATAAGGAGGAATTACCTGTACAAGGATTATCTCTCTCAACTCCTGGGATTAAGAGTTTGAGGGATGAACTCAATTCGGGATCGAGGACTAGTTGTAGCCAGGCAGTTTCTTCCTCCGCCACAATTTCTCAGTCTAATTTCCGGTCAGGACCCCAGCCACCACATCAACAGACTTCTAGGAAGCAGAGAAGGTGCTGGTCTCCAGAGTTGCATCGCAGATTTGTCAATGCTTTGCAACAACTTGGAGGTTCTCAAGGTGAGAAAGGAATTGAAACTCGTAGTTGAATACTTTTGATATTTAGAAACAATGTTGAGGGGTTAGATTTTCTGATCCAAGATATGTAGTTTGTGTTTTTTGATTGGGTTCTTGATTTCTTTTCTGCCTGGTTAATTACCATCCGTAGTTATAACAAGAAAATGGTAATTAGTGGAAACAGAAATTGGTTCTTTATGTTTTTCTTACACTAGCTTCAAGCTGTGAAAGATGAAAGGATATTGAAAGGTTTGATTTTTTGATATTTATCTTATGCATACGGTGTCAATTCTACGGAACAGGCTGGCCTTATAGCATTAATTAGAGCCTGGAACTATAATTAATTGATCTTTTCTCTTATGAATTGTACAATTTGATTGTTGTCTGGACTCGGAACACCTAATGCGACTCCATCAATTTTTTTTTTTTTTTTTTTTGCAGTGGCGACCCCAAAGCAGATTAGAGAACTTATGCAAGTGGATGGCTTGACAAACGACGAAGTGAAGAGTCATTTGCAAGTGAGTTTTCAACTTCCCATATTCTCTTTTCTTGCAGTTTGATTCATGTGAAAGAATGAGTAAGGAGAAAGCGAAACACCTGAAATGCTTGTAAAACAAGCCAATGAATTGAAGGGTATTAGTCTTGTCTCATCATATCCAAGAAAGAAATATGATTAAATTATTATATTTATTATACAACACGAGGCACTACGATGATGAATACTGATACCGGATTCTTCTGTATCTGCAGAAATACCGGCTGCATACACGAAGAGTTCCACCAACCAATGCCACCTCCACTACGAATTCATCAGCCATGATGTTGGGAGGTTTGTGGGTGTCTCAAGATCAGTACGTTGACTCCTCGAAGCCCAGCAATTCCCAGTCTGGCTCTCCTCAAGGGCCTCTCCAGCTGACATACACTGGAGGGACCTCAACTACTGGAGGCGATAGCATGGAAGACGACGGAGATGCAAAATCCGAGAGCTATAGCTGGAAAGGCCACATTCATAAACCAGGAAAAGATGATGTATAAAAGTGTATCCACCATGAAATTTTTGCAGATACAAGTATACATGGGATGAGTTTGTTAGACTACTGATTACAAATAATGTATAAATACATATAACTGAGAAGGATTTTTCAGATTTTGAGAGCACGGGAGACAGGGACCGAAGAGACAGAGACTTGAGACAGAGGATGTGAAATTTTGCAGAGATTAGTTTTCCTTCTGTATGGACATGCAAGAGTTTTGTTTTCCCTCCGGAAATGATATAAGAAATCTAAGCAGAACCCATGTTTCCATGGACAAAACACGAGCTTTCTCTGGTATAATCACAAACTAGTTTCCCTGTCAACTTCCTTACTTCTCAAAAGCTTTATTTTCCTGCAAATTTCTTCGACAAAAGCTGATCCAGACCTGAATCAAGCACATGCTCATCACACAGAAACATAAATTTTTCAATAGAAAACAATAGGTCTGAGAAAACTTGGATTGATTGAAAACTTACTTGTTCCTACTTTCTATATATGTATCTACATACATACATACATACTAAGGATAAAGTTTAAATTGGTCACCCTAAATCTACTAATATTTGAAAAAATGTATACTATCTGATTGATAAATTTCTAGACTAAGTGTATATTAATTATGTTCTTAATATCTTCAAAAGAAAACATAATTCTTGAGCTATGGCCTTTCAACCCATCAGCATATTATGCAGAATTTTTACCAGCCGACCCAATTATGAGGTTTCCAATTCTTATGTTTAGTTAAAATACTCTCGGAGTATTCGTTCTTCTATAATAGATCGTAAGTTTGAATTTAATTATCTAATTAAGTAGTTAGAGTTCATAAATAAATAAATTTATATACTAATTAAAGTATGAACTCGTGATTTTTAAATAAAATTAATAATTTAAGTTAAATTTTCACAAATCTATTTCGTTTTTAGACGAAAGAAATATTTTTTAACGGGTAATTTTCTCGGTTAAATTACCATAAGGGTTAAAAATTTAATCTAACATCTTAATTGTATAAAGATTTTGAAAAAAAAAAAATATGAATGCATGACAAAACCATCAATCATCACAAGCAAAATAATAGAGGAGAATCTTATAGACAATGTACATATATATATATATATATAATTGATGGAGCCCACATTTGATGGGGTCCACTTTTAATTATAGTATAAATTTTTTGGTAAAACAAGTCTGTGAAAATTATGGGACCCTCTCTCTATAAATTCCATTTATAATCACTTTTTATTTAATTTTAACTTTCTATTTCTAATCAAGTTTAATCTCAAACAGTAAAAATTTTGAAATTACTTTTTAATCACCCTTTTTAGTATATTTTAAATTTTAAATTTACCAATGAAATTAACTATTCTCCATAACTATATAATACAATTTTTTTATATGTCAATTCATGTAATGAAGCTTAATTATTATTATTATTTTAATTTAGTCAAAAGTAAATGCAAAAAAAAAAAAAAAAAAAAATTCATGATAGAATTAAGAAATTCACAAGAAAAATTATTATAAATTTAATTTTGAATTATATATATATATATATATAAATACACACACTTGCCTTTACACCCAAAAGATTATTACAATTTTACTTTCTTTCTTTTTTCACTATTTTTAATTATCAACCATTACAATTTATCTTTGGCACTATAACAATTAACATTGTATGAAACATAAGCTAAATGATGAACAAATATAATTTCACCGTACTTTTACCGAGAATCGATTAATCATTAGTTCAACAACTGTTCAATCCCGATTGATTTGTGCGGGTTTAAATTATTATACGCAATTCAACAGTTACATATATTTTTAAAATGACATTAAAGTAATACGATCTCTGTCACTCGAATCCTCGATATTCATAATGTAATAACTATAATCGTAAATCACAATCTAAATAAATAAATATAGTGTTTAAAAATTTTATTAGTTTATAATTACGACGTAATATATTTTAATATCTTTATAACACTCTAACAGTGTATGATTTGAACGCGTATCTATTAGTAAGTCTGTTCTTTTGGCACGAGACGAGATGTTACTGTGATTATAAACAGTAGTTAAAAGTAAATAAAATAAATAAACAAATCGATTAGTACTTTAATGATGGTATTAAATATTTAAATGGGTATTCCTAAAATGGTACTTTCAATTTTCTTCTAAAAGAGGACAAAAGATATTAGAAGATTGAATGCAATTAAGTAGCAAAATGTCATATTCACATAGCAATTTAAGGTATAATTGATTGGGACCCAACAAAATAGAACAATTCATCTTATCAAAGATTCCAATCAAGATAGATCATGATTCCTTACATGGGTATAATGTAAGTAATTAAAAATAATATCATATTAATTAACAAGTTTTACTTCAATAATTATATATATATATATATTTTTTCAATCACAAGTTCAATACATCTTTAGTATAAGAAATAATATACATATATATATATATATATCATGGTGTACTTAAGAAGAAATGATATTAAATGAAGATGCTAGTTAATCTAGACAACTATTTTGGTGTATATATATATATATATATATATTTATGTATGTATATATATGTGACAATTATATACACTCTAAAATCTTGATCTTGTTCATGAACCTAAATCAATTTTAGACATACTTAATCACTAAGCTTTACCATAGATTAATCATTAGTTAGTTTTGATGTTGATGATTAATAAAATAATAGTTTACGTACGTTTTTCTAAAGATAATGTATAAATTTAAACACGCAATCTCATATTTAATCAATGAAAAAAAAAAGATAAATGGAAGCGTACTTAGATTCATCGCAGAAGATTCGGTTACGTTCTGTAGTAGGTACTTGCGAATTGACACGGTACCACAAAAACTGATTTTTTTTTTTTTTTACCGATAGAATTTGAAGATTTTTATATCGACAAGGATCCTAAAAGTTAGTTTAATTTTTTTCAAGTAGTACTTCAAAATTTTAATTTAGAATGGACATGGGTCCTAAAAATTGGAGGCTATACTTAATAAATATGGTTTTCAGAAAATTCACCAAATTAATTAATATGGTTTTTCAGAAAAATATTTGGAAAATTCAAAGAATATATTTAATTTTGATATGGATGTATCATCAAGAAAGTACATACTATGTTTTGTATATTGTGTTACATTAATCTTTGAACTTTAATTAAATTAAATTTCTATTTGTATCTTAAATTTGTACTAAATTCATGTTTTAAATACAAAAATATGTAAATTTTCACATATATATTTTTAAAAAATTATAGATTAAAATTTTTACGTTGTACGAGAAAGTTATTACGCAATTAAACTTGAACGAAAAACATGTTAAATTGATTTGTACCAATATATACGGAAACTTATTAGTTTCATAATTATTTATTATTATTTAAGGTTCTGATACGATCGCATGATAAACTACAGAGAGAAGCCAAATATATGACTAATAGCATCAGAATGATTTCGTTTTAGATAATGGGTATTATAATTGGTGTTCTTACAATTCGTTTAATATATATTTTCTTTTACAGTTCAAAGTTGGGTTCGTTTTTCTGATAATCGGACGAATTGAATTTTAGACATGAAAACGTAAAAACTTAAAACGGAGCATAACTTTTTATTTTCGTCTTTGATTCGAGGGGAAGAATTTGTTGAATTCTTAATAATTATAAAAGTTTGTTCACATAAATCAATATATAAGGGAAGAGGCTTATACTTGTTCCTACCTTGCTTGTTTATATAAATCAATTCAAGTTCCCATATAGTTAGAATATGGAGCTGAATCTATATATATATATATATATATATTTTTCTAATGCAATATAAAATATGAATATATGTGATGTTGCCTTCAATGTAAGCTACCCTAGTGTTCTTTTTCTATACCCACTATATATAAATATACATATATATATATATATGTATATTACAAGGGACTAAAAAGTAAATTAACAAGCAACATTAACAGGAGTTGCTTCAATTTCTGAATTTACTGGGAGATCACCAAACCTACTCCAGTTTCTGCAAAAAGTAATCAACAACAAGCTGGTGGCTTGCAATACCAGACCACATATTAATCCAATCCACAAACCCTAAACCAAAAAATTCAAACACAAAAATCAATACCAACAAATTCCATATATATATATACATATATATTGCAATGTTCGGGATCTAATTACCGTTATCTATAACCTTTTAAAATTATTAATAGTATATAGTTTGAATTATTATATAAAACTCAATAATTATATACTTATAATTTTTAATGCGATACCCGATTCGGGTAATATATATATTTAGATTGAATTTTATGTTAATACTGACCTTAACATATAACTTGAACTTAAACCCAAGAACCCCTGCAATTGGAAGTCCAACAAAGAAGAACATCACCAAGTTTATACACACTGCCAAGTGCTGCCACCCACATCCTCTTGTCACTCCTACAATGTCCAAACCACCCTTTGCATCATAACTTCATACCCACATATACATATACGTACAGTTATGCATATATAAACCCATGTATGTGTGTATATATTTGATGTTACTGACCTGATAAGACACCTTGGATGGTGTCAAGTGCTATGGAGATGGCAAGGAGAGGTGTAAGTGAAGCAAACCCAGTAATAATTGAAGGATTGTCAGTAAAGAAAGCAGCCCAAATGCGATGGCCAAAGCCCAGAATAACAGTCAACAAAACGCACAGCATAACTGAGAACTTGAGAGTCACAATCATGGCATTCTTTGCTTGGCCTGGATTTCCTGCTCCCAGCTCATTGGACACCCTTGTGCTGTTTCATTTCCATAGATATATATATATACATACACATGTTTATACATATATATATATACACAGAGAGAGAGAGAGAGAGAGAGAGAGAGAGGGGTTGACTAAGATTTATGTGATAACTTCGTACTGACCTTGCAGCTGCACTTAGGCCATAGGTGAGCATGTATGTAATGGCATGTGTGTTCACACTATATATATACACACACACACACACACATGTAAAGAATCAAATTTCAGAATTATATACGAACAAAACTTAGCTGAGTTTAAAGCATTACCACATTGCAGTTAATGAAGTGGTTATTTCTGAGTCGGGCATGAGTCCTGCTAAGAGTACCAAAATCTCGAATGTCCA